GTGTTACGAGATGGAGGATGGGTTTTTCCCCTTCTTTCAGTTTAGTTACATTGTTACTCTCTTACATGTGAAAACTGTAGCTTGAGAAATAACACACAAATATGTTCAAAAAACATCCAAGCTAAATAAGCGATAAGGTGCTTTGTGTTTTGAAAAAGGAATGCTATTTCATAATGATTCTAAATGACATTTCCCTGTCTTTCTGTGAACCGCATTTAGTAAGCAACATAGCTGGATGCAAATGAAAATAATTAAACTTCTTAGGACTTTTTAAAATATGTTTTTTCCATATGTTTATTATTTTAAACTCATCTGTTGGACTCTTTTTTACTCTGCATTAAAATTGCTCCATGTTACATGTGCTTTCCACGTGTCATCACTTGATATGGGCTTTCTTTTTATTGTAAATCTCTGACCAAACTGGAGAGTCATTCAAGTCCAGTTCCACATATTGAGAATCTAAATTGATAACCTCAAAAATATCCTTTCCCAATGTGGATGATATCAATCGAAAGGCCTTCTAGAAAGATACTTCCAATTAAACTTTGTTCAATTGTATATTAGTATTTAACTATGAAAATAAAGGCAAGTATAAAATCTTTTCATGGAGGCATAGAATTCAATAGAACTAACTTATGTTTATTTGACTACCTTTAAAGACTATATACTATTTAAATAGCATAGTAGATATTTGTAGACTGCAGGACAGATAGCAATTATAGTAAGACTGGTAAGATATAGATCAGTAGATAGCAAGTGAAGATAACAGGATAGATAGTATTTATATTTACATTCAGGAAATACATTTCTCTTGTTATGATATTTGCATTGCTTCATCATTAAAACCAATATTAGTTACATTTTTGAAAGCCGAATATTTGCTTTTCAGCATGGTAGGACTTGCAGTTATTTTTCTGTGACCACTATCCTAAAAAAGTGTGGTGTTTTTTCTACTTGCAGCGGCATTTTTTAAACTTTCAAAACTACAACTCATTGTGTCTGTAACCCATTGTGACTGTCACAGCCTACTATTGAAACATCTCCTAAGTTTAAACAGCAGCTGGAGTTGGAGAATTATAGTAAAGATGGGAAAGGTGAAAAACTCTGCCTTTGGAAATCAAAATGATCCAACCCTGTAACTTTAGGCCTCTGTAGTCTGCTGGGTATATTTCAGAGGAAGAAACTGGCAAAGCCTCCTCCTTGCCTAAGAGAACCCTGTGAAATTCATGGGGTCATAGTAAGTTGACAGACAACTTGAAGGCACACACATAGACATACACACAGAGTCCTATTCAAAGATACAGCCATGTTAGTCTGCATCGATACACAAAAGGGATCTTGTGGTATCTTTGAGACTAACTGAAAGAAATAACTTTCTAGCATAAGCCTAATGTATCTGATGAGTCTCATCTTAGGTTTTATGATTATAAACTTTATTGTTGTGTGCCTTCAAGCTGTTTGTGGTTTATAGCTACAATATGACAAACATATCAGGGGTTTTTTTTGGGGGGGGGCTGAGATTATGTCAGTGGTCCAGGGTCACCCAGTGCATTTTCATGGCTGAGTGAGGATTTAAATCCTGGTCTCCAGAATCATTACCCAACACTCAAACCACTATACCACATATCTAACTCAAAATACAGTATAATCAACATCCAAATATTTGTGTCAGAAAATCAAAATATTTATTAACAGTATTTATATTCCACCCTTCTTTGCCCCCCCCCCTTGAATTTGAGAATATTGTTGTCAATATCTTCATCCTTTGACGAAGATACTACTGGATGCAATAAAATGAATTCCCACCAATCTTTTTTCTAGATCCGCTTCATTTTCTGTATTTCTGAAGTTATAGCATGAACATGCTGTGCCACCCTGCAGGCTACCCTTTTTCTGAAAAAGTAAAGAAAACTAACCTTGAAAAATTATTTATTTTCAGAAGCCCAACGTTAGTGAAAAACATACCTACCAGCTTAGGCTATGGAGCAGCACTTAATGCAAGCTTACAGGTAAACTTGGAAATGTTTGTTGCTTTCACGTGCCCTGTTCATTCTGGCTGTGTTGTTGCCTGTTATGATACAGAACTCTCCATGTTTATATGGTCATTATGGATAATGCAAATAGGTGGATTAATCTTCCAAATAAGTTGTATCACCTAGCACGGCAAGAAGTACTAGTTCTAATTGTTATTACTTTTGATGTGAAGAAGCAAGAAGGACACCCTGTGGCAAAATCTGGAACACTCAGTTTTGCAGCAAAGGCTAGATTGATAGAAGCTTTTGCAAATGCATGTGGATATGCATTAATATTTATCCAAGCTGTCATGAATGATTTCACATCATAGTGTTGGGGAGCATGGTGCTCATGGCAAAAACTTTAAAGTTTAATTATAAGATATAATTTTTATGCAGAAAAGGCAAATGTCAGGACTCCTTTATTTTGAGTTAAGTCCTGGTCATTTTTTATAATCCAACTGCTGCCTTGCAGTACAAAAGAACAGCACACTGCATGTTAGGATACAGGGTTGAGGGTTTAAGTGCACTTTAGAGTTGGAAGTAGTTTGAAAGCAGAAAACATTGTGCATGTCAGTGTCAGAGTATATTTAATAGCTCCATCCAGTGATGCAAGAATATGTGGGCAAGTCTACCATGTCAGATAGGGAACAAATGGCACAAAGATGTATCTAGTCATCATTTGAACCTGTTTACAAGTATCTACATCAATACATATTAAGCTGCCTCCAAAGATCAAATAGCTAACCATTCTGCACCATCTTTGTTTTGCTAGGCTGCGCTGGCAGAGAGTAGTTTACCTTTGCTTAGTAACCCCGGATTGATAAACAATGCATCCAGTGGCTTACTACAGGCAGTCCACGAAGACCTCAATGGTTCGCTGGATCACATTGACAGCAATGGAAATAGCAGCCCAGGTTGCTCTCCTCAGCCTCACATGTAAGTGTGGTCAGAATCCTTTTATTGTTGGGGAAAATAATTTTTTGAGAATTCTGTGTTGTTTTACGTACTTCCAAAGGGAGGAAAGAGCATTTAGAAACTAGTCATGCATTTTTTTGAAAGTTCCTTCACTTTGCATGAATAGCATGAACAAATGTTTCCCAATACCTGTACAATGACATGACAATGCTAAAGGGATACAACAGAAAATGCCCTTGTGCACACAGAAAGATTATTTTTCGGACACTGAATAAAAAAGAAGGTGCTGACAGAACTGTGATATGGGACATTGGGCTGCACTCCAATTATATGTTATATGTGTTTGCGCTATCTCTTTGGTTTGAATAGGACGTGTATGCCAGTACATTCAGGTAGAACATATTTGTGTGTCAGTAGGTTCAGGCAAAGCATACTACATCTGTATACTAGTATGTTCAGAACTTCAGAACCTTGAGAAAGGAGCTGTCAATATCATTTTCAGGAAACATAGATATCATGTTTTTCATAATACACATTTTAGTTTGGGTTTTTACTGCAGATCTGGTCACCATTATATCAATATTCAGAGCAAATCATTTTCATCTTTCTATCAAACATCTGAAATATTTACTGAGGCTTAGTCGATACGACTGGATAGCAAAAGAAGTCTTGTTAAAATGACTTTTAATTTTAACTTAATGCATTTATGGACTGTCTCAGAGATACTGCCCATTTATATAACCATAAAACACAAAGTTTAACTGTTATCCTGAGTTTACATAGAATCTAGTAAAGTGTAACTTTTTGCCTGTCTTATAAATCAGTGTAATTACATATTCAACTTTAATTACTGGTGCGTCTGTATTGGCAAGGTTTATATGTTATATTTTATGCAAGACTACGATTCCTATTAATATTTAGCAGCTAACTATATCATTAATTACTCTAAAATCTTTCCCCCACCATCTTTTTAATGCAGCTCAGAGAGTGGCAGTATTAAAAATTGATGTATTGTGGATTTCAGAAATGTGTATGAAGCCTGAGAAATGCCTGGCCTTAATCGTGGGTGTCAAATGTGGCAGATTCTTGTTTAGTAAATAGTAAAACACGTACCTTCGAGGTATCATTTCCCAGGTTATTTATATAATAATTAGAGATGTGATATCTAACTAGACAGAGACAGAAGTTCACTGTAGGACGAGTCTTTTTAATATACAATTATATCCTTCGTTAGTGATGATATCTTTGTATTTCAAATGTTGTACCCAGTCAGTTTTATTATTTAATTTTCTCTTTCATATTTTCCATATTTATTATACATGTAGTTCTGAAATGGTAATTGCAAGTAGAGCAGTATTCATTTTTGTATTAAATTATCGGTGATGTGTATTTGCTTTGCTTTTTTGCATTGGAAGATTTTCTGTATTTTACTTCTTGTTTTATTTTTCTTCCAAGGCCAGTATATATGTTATCAGATACATTTATGTCTTTAAGATCATACACTTAATTGCTTTATTTGCCATTCATTGTATTACCTTAGGGGGTGAGAAACCTGTATACACACACCAGTGAATGTGAACATTAATGGGCTTTAGTGAGTTCCAAACCATTACTTTTTTTCAAAATGGAAAAATTTGTCTTTTGGAAGTGTCTTTAGATGTATTTAATAATACAAAAGAAGTAGTAAAACTGGAAGTAGAAAGAACATGAATATAAGCTCCTGAGAGCAACAGTGCTCTAAAACAAGTAAAGTGAGCCATCAGACAAAAGTTTTTATATCCTGTACTGTATGCTATCAACCATGCATTGGGTAGCTGGAGGCCTTTTACTTTTAGCAGTTCTCCTGAGTATGCTAATGCTCTCTTTCTGTCTAAAATGCCAAGACAATAAAACTTTAAAGAGCAAACAAGAGTTAGATCATGTGTATTAAAAACAGCAATTTCACAGAAATGAATGGCATTTGCTATTTAGAGTTATTTGGTAATACTGTATTAGGTCTCTCTCTCACCTTCTCAGTCTACTACATTTTCTAAGCAATGCATGCAAATGATACATGGCATGCACCACGCATACCATATACAATCTGTATACATTGCTTAGATGACACAAGACTCCTCTCAAAGAAAGCACATAGATGTTTAGTAATAAAACCTATTGTAAATTACACCAATAATTCCAGTTCCAAACTAAACATCATTAAGAGCAGGGAAGTCTGTACATTAAAAATTATATCGGGGATAGATAATGGGTCCTAATGCTTACTGAACTAGAAAATAACTTCTATGTAGGTCTCTATTAGCAGTACTTCCATGCAGCACAACAGAACTCATAGAACATCAGTATTTCAGTGATACTCTACCATTCAGACATGCTATCATGAACTAATACAAGGAAGATGGCCAATTCATAATATTATTTATGGTGTATTTGATAGAGAATAGGATCTTATGGGATCAAGACTACATAATTTGTGTCTTGTGTGGAAAAGAGGAGAGATAGAATGCCAGCCATTTAAGTAAAGTATTTCAATATAATTTGGATGGGAGAAAACATGACCTGAAGGTAAAAGCAATGATCATAGAAACTTACACTATTCCTTTTTTTAATAAATCCCTTTATTATGTGTCACATGTACTCAGACTCTGAATCCGTTTGTTAATGGTTGAACAACACATGAAACTAGAATTCTGTAATTAGAATTACTATTGATTTTTGTTATACAAAAAGCAATTGGCTTGCATTTGAGTTAGAGCAGTGGTTCTCAACCTGAGGGTCCCCAGGTGTTTTGGCCTGCAATCCCCAGAAATCCCAGCCAGGTTACCAGCTGTTAGGATTTCTGGGAGTTGAAGGCCAAAACATCTGAGGACCCACAGGTTGAGAACCACTGAGTTAGAGCATGTAAGGGTGGGGTGGGGTTAAACAGGTGTGGTTCTTCACCCCAGTCTCTCACCTCAGCTAATTCTGGATTCTGTATGTGGTTCCATTGTCAACTTTTGACCACTTTAACAACAAGTTAACATCAACACACTTAAGCATTCTTAAGTCTAGGACTCTCAAGATATTTATATGAGATTTGAGAAGGCTTTTCTATTATTCTTTTACACTTGACAGACAGACACATAGACATATCCAATCCATTCCCCTTTGGGTGCTTAGTTTCATGTGTAACAGTACATTCCATGCATATTACATTATAGGATATGACTAATTGAATGTTACACTTTCATAAAGACTTTCATAAGAATTGAACCTTGATCTCTCCACATTTTTAATAGGCTTGGTCATAATTAACACATGTCAGAACATCAACATTCTAAATAATGTGACATAGTTTTTATCTGTCATGAACATCCTCTTTCTCATCATCAAGCTCTTTCATAATTTTGTAATTTTGTAATTTCTGAGTGTACATGCTAAAGTATTCATTTCCTAAAAGCTCTTACATGCACACAATCCTGCCCCTTATATCAAACTCATAATCCTATTAGTAATACATATAACTTGGCCAGAATACCAGAATACTTTCTCATCTCTTGCCATTGAAGGGTTAATTTCCTTGAGATTATTAAAACTTAACAGTATCCATTACAATAAATAACTTCATGAACATCCATTTTTATATCTCCTGTACCAATTTTTCAACATGTTTGGGCAGTATGTCCTGACCAATTGGTCTATAAGTTTATTGGGGATGATCATCACGGTTTATTAAACTCACCATAACACAGTTTGAACTTCTTCGTATCCTCTACTTATAACCCAACAGCTTATCCATTACAAATAGCACAGTTGAAATATACACTAGCTCTTAGGCAATTGAAATAGAGATTTGAAGTAAGGTAGGTGTCATTATTACACTCCCCTCTCAGCTAGACTACATATCATGGCTTGTCTCTTCTCCAAATGTACTGTTGTCCCCTCTTTGAGTATATGTGTATTCTGAGCACAATTGTACAGGTGTTTGGCTTAACTATTTACATTTCAGAGTAACTGGCATCATTCCCAGATTGACATGAAAAGCGTTGCTGCTTTGTCACTGATGCTGGCATACACTCACAGTTCTAATTGCTTGCATTAAATCTTGTGCCTAGTCTCTGAGTCACGTGGGAGCCCTCATGACTGCTTTTTGTAAAATAGCAAGACTCTGGAAGTTCCTGTCATGGGACTTCCATGAGCAGACATACTGTAAGTATTCCCTGTAGGTGAATCTTGGAAATTTGTTCCTTATGTAATGGAGCAGGTTGGGCTAAAATTTACCTTTAGGTCACTGGACTATAGCCTGATGATTATCTCAATATCAGAACACAGCTTTTTGCTGAAACCTCAAGATGCATAGAAACCAAATGTCACAGGCAGATGATTTGTGGAGCAGCTCCTATGTGAATTGGGAAAATCCTAACCACATTTTGCTGATATGGTAAAATTGCCATCAGATAGTGCTTTCCCCATTTTTGTGTTGTTTATTTGGTGTGGGACAAAATGTACTCTGCCCTTGCACAGGGTCACAGTTTTTATTCCTCACATGTTTTTTCCTCAGTCTTTGTCAAAATGGCCAGACCAGAAGCACTATGAAGGATATCACGAGATCAAATGTCATTATGTAGTATCATTTTCTGTGTGATGGAGGAGCACTGAAGAGTTTATTGAGGCAACAGATGTAATTTAACTCTTCTTTGAACTCCTTGAATCTCTATTCTGTTCTCTAGTGTGTTTCCCTTTCTCTGATGCCTGATCCCATAGACTTAGACCTTATGCTTTACTAATGCAGTGGAGAATCTGTTCCCCTGGTATGTTCCTACACTACTCAGACAATACCCATAGAGAGTAATCATGTGGGCTCACCAGACAATTTAGGTGGTTTTTTTGAACCCCAACAGACCAACAATGTCCAGGTACCTGGCTGAAAAAATAAACTAAAATAACAACTAAAATAATACTGTCTTTGAAAAATTAAAATGAAAGCCTTTGCTTGTTTCGTTATTGCATATGAGAAGAAATCACTTCTGTCTCCCCACTAGATG